CCGTTTTGCTAATCCTGCCTATTCGGTTCCTATTTCATTTCAAAAATCTTATTTCAACCTTACTGTACCATTCATAACTTATGCAGAAATCTTAGACTTGCCCGTATCTATGTTGACATTGACGATGTTTCGGTGTTCTCCTGAGCTTATGTTTCATTTTATAGATCCGAAGGATCACTATGCGCCGCAAATTGGTGGTACCGACGTATTCCCGAGTTCGTGGACAGACTTATGCTGGGAAAATTCCGGTAGGACAGTTTAGAGGATGCTAGATTATGCCAAATCCATCGACACCTCAACCTCCATCTCTTCAGTACTTGTAAATAACCAGCAGGTTGCATGAGACCCTGACAAGTGGTGGCGTTTGACAATTGCATCCTTTATTGAATAGGTGAATTAAAGCGGCTTTAATGAGCCGCAAAAAGTGGACTGGGTGTTACTTATCATCCCTGTCTTTGACATTCTACGTCGACATTTATTGAATTTTCGAAGCTGGAGTTCGCACTCTTACTTGATGCTGTGATGTTTGCCTGACAGTGTTTTTTTACCCTTATCAAGGAACGTCTAATCGTCTGTTGCTATACCTATACTTGCCGGTCCGCCATTAAATATAAACTATCAAGGGACAGGTTCGGCTTTCAGGTTTCGAGGCATAGTCTGGGTAGTGTATCATATCTTTGATGGTCTAGCGATTGGTTTCTGATTCTCAGTAAGACCAATCTACTGTAGTGTATGGCATCCTATGCCGAAACTGTGTCCTCAAAGCTACATAACACTGACTAGACGCATGCTTGGCTGGCGCATACACGAGCATAAGTTGGCAGTAAGACGGGATGACGGAATAATCACAACCGGTTGTCCACACCTACGAAATGGAACGGGAGCCATAAAATGGATCGTAGCTATGAAAATGATTGCCCAAACCAGAAGTAAGACATGTGGGGAATTGATTGAATCCTGGGCCTCCAAGGACAACTCATTCAATCGATTTATTGATTTGGCACCGGCATACAGACCACTGCGTCACTGGTTTTTAGCTGCCCCCTGCCCCTTTAACTGTTGCTTGCTTTTCGCTACTGTTTTTCTTTCTGTCGATGGACTGCAGTAAGAGTTTAGATGCATACAGTCATAATTCTGTTGAACGCAAGGCCTTCTTCTTCTTCTTCTTTACTTCTAAAGTGTGTGTGTTCGGTTTTCTATCTGCTTTTTAGTCGATTTTGGCGCCAACGCATCCGCTTGCAGTTGACTCCCTACGTGGCACCTCTGGAGACTCGACACCCTGAAATAGTTAACATTTACAATATTTCTCCCAAAGCCTCTCCTTTTCGGACTGAAAGAAGGGTCGACGAATTGGAGGCCTCATCTGAGACTTCAGACTCCGCTCCCCTCACTCGCACCCTCCCAATTCGTGCCCTCAATGAGGTCTTTGTGAGCACCTGTATGAGTGCGAGGTGAGTATTTTTGTTATCTCTTTTATCCGCCATTTTGCCTTCTGCTCCTTACTGTCGGATTCTACGGCGGTGCGCTGTTTGGGTGAAATGACTATCAGTCAATCGACATTCTGAACTGTGTTTTCCTTCCCGAAATATTACTTGAGCAGGGTTGTAATTTAACTTATTTTGCAGTATCATCGCAAGCTTTTTCCATGATCATACAAAATATCCGTATGCTTCTCGGCCGCATCGTACTTTAGACGGTGTGTCTATTTTTTGGTATGCGGCTGTGAGCCGCACTTTGATTGTTTCGCGATATTTTCACGGCATTGGTGCCATCCTACCGTTTCCGTCAGTTTTATGATGCAGTCGCGAGGGTTTGCGGTTCTGTAATGATATATCATGCCACACTCCACTACCAAAAACAGTGCAGTATTGAATTTCGTCCGAGATAGATCTGTCCGCGGGGCAAACTGCGTGTCATCAGCTTTAGCGATGCAAAAGACGCAACCGAATACCGGCTGGCAAGCCCTGCTTATTATTTACTGCAACTGATGGACTTCGGCGAACAACAGATTCACATAAACATTCAGGTGACTTGAAATAAAATAGCTGAGGCTCGTCTTCTCTCGGTACTTACAGGAGTTACGATATGATAAAAAAGCTTGACCAAAATCCTGAAATGTTGGTGTTTTTTTTTCAAAGAAAAGTAGGATTGTGGCTTAACGTATCTTGCAGCATAATCCCAAGATTCTTCAGTCACATCAGAATGATGACTTTTTAACGAGGTTCATTCCGACCGCATGCAGAAAAGTGCACTCTATGTGCATTTTTATTCTTGCTGATTTTCGATGCCCTTGTAGATTTAAATATATTTTATGAATAATAATAATAATAATAATAATAATAATAATAATAATAATACCAGGCTATTGTTTCTTGTACACGTTTCGTAGGAAAAGATAGTCATTTCGGTCTCCCTAGTCTTTGGCGGTTTCACCTCATCAACTTTGTCACTATGCAACTGCCTGTGTGGGCTCTGAAGTGCGCTCTAAGGCACATATATGTTCTGTAACCAGATCGGTGATCCCCAAGCTAGCGTCTTTTTTCCGATCGAATCGGACAAAACAACGGGCCCGTGGCTTAATGGTAATGTGTAACAGGTTGCAGGTTCGAATCTTGGATGATCCACAGCTAGGATTGGCTATAACTGACTGATTAAAGCTAATAAGCCAGAAATGGCCGGTCCATACCCCCCGTGTTTGTCGGTCCCACTGCCCTATATATGTGTGCGAATTGAAAAATGGACATCCCAAAGGGTATGATTCGAATGAAATGACCACTCGATACAAGCGAAACTGCGAGTCTCAGAAAGCAATTGAGAAAAGGTAGGCGCGATTGCTGGAATTGCTTAGTATATATTTTGGGGGTAAGCTGAGAGCCTCGCAACTCCGCCACCCAATAGACGGTCTGACGTATTACGGGCGTTACTGGGATGATTTATTCGCGGTCGCATCCTAATAAACTAGCATTTCAGCTCTAATGCATACCGGAAATCAGGCGCGCCCGTCAATACAATTTACACTAGAAGAAGGGAAGTAAGTAGAAGGTTTGAGGGGAGTATTTGGTGTATTTTCGTACCGCTAAACCCTAAACGTAATTTAGTACGATGTTTGACATAAAAGACGAAAAGGATCTGCTCGAGCGAGCTTTTTTCAGCAAAACGGGTATTCAAGTCGATTTGTTGCTAACAGCATGGCGAATGTCCACCAAAGCCCCGGTGCTAACAGTAGAAAGCGGCAAACGATTGTTTATTAAGGTTCCATTTCAAGCGCAATCACTTCTAAAAGAGCGCCTTCGTAGGGCTGTATCAACCACTTTTTCAGCAGCCGACGCACATGTTTTGTTCTCAACTGCTCCCATCTCATACGGAGAGAACAAGGACAAATTGCCAGCCTGGACCAACTCTATGTACATCTATTCATTTACCTGCTCCTGTGGGGCAGAATATATTGGTCGTACGAGTAGGCGTTTGTCCAAAAGCGTACGAGAACACATTCCAGCATGGTTAGGAAGGGGCCAAATACTGAACATGAACACCTCCATTCCAGCAAACAAGGCAGAGTAAGATCATCGCGCATACGCCAGAGAGGCGTTACGAGTAATTTACAGCATCTGTTGGCTACGACAGAAGCGGCTGCAATCAGATTACGTAACCCGGTCCTGTGCGCTCAAGAGCACTTCGTAAAGGCGTCCAAGTCTAAGTCCAAAGTCACCAATTCAACCTTTCGCAGTTTATTCGTGCTATGTGAAGGGCCGCCTGCCGAGTTTGCCTGTACATGAGGTAAACTTCAGTCATGTGTTAAATGCTCGATCCGAAAATAAGTACCTTCTTTGCAACATAATTACTAGACATTTACTGATTATTTGACATGTGTGTGTCGTAGCCCATAGTTGGATCAGGAATCCCCGCCGGAATCCAAAC